TTTCATGGTTTAAACAGTACATGTTAAAATCAAAGCTCAGCTCAGCAGTGGCCTAAAATAAATAAATATTATTTTACTTACCGAAAAAAATGAAGTGGAGACTCCTTGGACGCTCTATTAGTGCAATTAAGGACACGGCAGGTCATTTTGTCCAACAATCGCACAAAAAATATCCAAAAAAGAATACACAAACACAGAGACTCAAAATCCCGGAGCAGTTTCCAGGCCAGACCGAGGCTCTACTGAGGCCTTTTCACGGAGCTAGCTCTGTGGTCACGTGGGTCTGATGCTCATTAATTATACAGAATTTTAGGCTTTTAATACACTTAAACAGAAGTGTGAGAAAAAAATTCACCCCTCCTCAGAGTTGTCATGAGTATAAACTAGATAATGTAAACAAAAAACATGTTTTGGTAGCAGGCTGTAAACATGTTTTTTTCTGCTGTGAAATTGGTATTTTTAACATGGGAGTCAATGAGGATTTGCTCGCTTCTGACACCAGCCCCTAGTGGATGAGGGTGGAACTGCAATTTTTGGTACTTCCGGGTTGGCCTCAATTTTTGAGCAGCATTGTGGGGGCTTGGTCCAAGCCCCCACAATGCGGGTGAAAAATTGAAGCAAACGCAGAAATGAAATAAGAATATAGTATCTGTTTTTCTTGATTTGTGTGGGACTTATGAAATCACCCATTGTTTCCCCTATGGCCTCTCTTTGGGACATTTCAGGCTGTGGTGCTTATGCAACTGGTTGTTCCAGTACTGCCCTGGACATGGGGGGGTTGTGGCGTGTTGAGAAGCAGCACCCGACGAGCCGGCTTCTGCAGCTAGTGCCTTAGCACTGTTGCTCGGTTTAGAAACCAGAAACCTGCGCATGTCGACTTGGTTCACTTCAAAAACAAATGAAAGAAGAAAACGAGGCAAACTAAAACCTTGAGAAAGAGTCTCCAAATAATTCCAGTGACCGACAGAAGAAGAAAACTTCAACCAGTGGCTGAGCTCAGATAACGACGGTGCGTCTCTGTGAAGTGCTGCTGGCTGTCTGGGAGTGTGTGAAGTGAGTGAGACACAGTGTTGCCAGATCCAAAATCCCACAATATCATACAGAGAGGCCTAAATTATCGTTTTTCATTACAAATTATCGTACATTATAAATTTGATAATAACGTTCTATAAACGACTTCTCACTCCAATATAATATAACAAAGAAGGTGTTTTATATTGCCCTGTTTAATTAAACATCTGTAAGACCAGTAATATAATGCCTATAAACGTGCAGAGTGTGTCGGCACCACGCCGACCTCCACGCATTGACACAATATACACATTTGCACAGTCCTATTTATGTCATTTCTACATAGGTTAAACGCACGTGACAAAACATCACAGCAGTGGAAAAACTGACCCAATAAATGACAAAGAAGCCTACTCACCTAGTTGCTGATCTCGATTTCCTCATCTGATTCACTGTCTGTCGCAGCAGAACGCCTTTAATCACCTGTACTAAGTGGTCTGTGCTTCTCATTGCAATGTTGTGCTCGGCTAAAAAGCCACATAGCTTGATTTCAGCATTTTTCACATCATTTTCAAAGTTCTCTTTTTCATTAGTTTGCTGGAAACATATAAGTATAGATGTCTGGTTTGGCGCAATGCATTTTACCCTTTCTTTGTGTTTATCTCCCTTTGCATGATTCTAGAGAACGGTGATTTCTGATACCAACTGGATGTTGCAGCGACGACAGAAAGCCTTGGTTTCCTTCTCCTTAACAGGTGCAAGCCATCCTTTGAAAATAGGGTCCAACTCCCACGCAGGACGATAAACTTGTGTCCGGTGTTGCTTTGCTTTACCTTCATCCGTCCCTTCTCTGTTTTTTCTTTTAAGATTAGAAGCCATTGTCTCGTCGCTCTGTCCTCCTAGCTTAGACTTAATTCGGCGCGCTCGCGGGCAAACAGCAAAAACTGGCGGGCCACTGCCACATTATGTAACCTTACAGTTTCTCGCGAGAGTAGGCCCTATCGATGTGATTGGGCTATTTATTGTACAGATCCAGAGTCAGTTTTTGTAATACACACAATAGCATAAACCTGTAAGCACTGAGGTGAAATCTGACTTCAGAACAGTTTAAAATTATGTAAATGACTTGGGAATGCCACAGCAAAAGACGGTGTTACTAGGTGCAATGTGAAATTATGGTACATTTGAGGATTTTTGAAACTATTGATCGTACATCATACAGAGCCCAAAATTATGGTACAAATACAATAATTATCGTACATCTGGCGAGACAACAGATGACAGAGAACGAAGTGCAGTGGCTGGCCACACCCTCCATATGCATCTACCAATCAGCAGCTACTTTGAATGAGGGAGAAAGAGAGAGAGAGAGAGAGAGAGAGAGAGAGAGAGAGAGAGAGAGAGAGAGAGAGAGAGAGAGAGAGAGAGAGAGAGAGAGAGAGAGAGAGAGAGAGAGAGAGAGAGAGAGCACTCTGACCCTTTTTCATCAGATCTTTTCAAATTTGGGATTTCTACTAGTGATGGGAATTTCGGCTCTTTTTAGAGAGCCGGTTCTTTTGGCTCCCAAGTGGCTCCTCAGATTTTCTGTTGTGTAGAGTACATTTATAACCATTGTAATGCTAAACTATATGTAAAATTATTTACTAATGTAAATAATGCAATATATCAAATATTTATCATTTCTATGGATTTAATAATTGAACACTTTAAGAAATCTCCACTTCCGACTGCTGTCGCTCATTTTCTCACCTTCTTCGTCGCACTCTCCTCCCTCTTGCTCGCCTTTTTTCTCCTCCTCATTCCCTCTCATCTCCCTCCGCCCGCATGTGCTCTGCTGTGTCTGAGTCTGATATTTTTGAACTGAATTGAATTGATCCTCCCTCTTCCCCTCCCCTACTGCTCTGTGTGTGGACAGTCGGGACATGCAGTTACACATGTTGACCATTCGCCTGTAGCTTTCACCAAAGCAAGAGGGGAGGGGACAGCTCCCAATGACGAGCCGGCTCCCGTCGTTCACTTCAAAGAGCCGGTTTGTTCGCCATCGACACATCACTAATTTCTACATGTCATCGCATTTGGGGGGGCAGTCACTATTTTTAGGGGGGGGCATTGCCCCTCCTTGCCCATGCCTACATCCGGGCCTGCTGGGATCACCTTTCGTTCGTAAGATTTAACAATAACAAACATTCAACTGTGTTAGGCTGAGAAGTCTCTGTCATCTGCTTTGCTTTTGAACAATTATTCAGATAGTGTAAAAAAATGCTCAGTGGCGTCAGCTCTGAGGAAGATCGCAGACACGATCAAAACTGTCAGCAAGGTAAAAAACCTTCCCTGTGTTTCAAAAAGAACCTAAAAATGCAGTCAGAAGAAAAACACAAAAGATGTTTGTAGTCTTTAGAAAAACTGCTGGCTTATCAAATCCCCCTGATAAATAAATATAATGAATAAATTCTACACTTACTAATCATGATTACTTGTTTGCCTTTAGGTAGTCAAAGTATAGTTTGTATCTGATGATGTCTCACCTGACATCATGTTGTTCTATAGGCCTATGTACAGTATAAAGGCAACCACACTGTCCAGTTACATTGGTAATTGTAATTTCAGGATTTGTTATGCGGCGAGCCATGACCAAGCTGTCCTGTGATGTCTGCCGTGCCAGCCTGGTGATGGATGCTGCATCTGCCTGTGATGACACGAGCTACCATTTGCTGACTCTGAAGAACAACGAGGGTCTTGTGGTCCCATCTGAAGGTACTGTGAGGGTCATCAGAGCAGCAGAGTGGGCAATTCGCCAGGCATCAGTGGGCAGACGGTCACAGCCCATCGAACCACTGGAGGTCGTCTACATTGTGCGCAAGAGGATCGGGTCAGAGGACGTCTTTTTGCTTGGGGAGCACATCAGTGAGACACAGTGCGGAATTGAGTCTCACTCCCATACACTGTTGACATCTATTGTCTCCCTGTTCTTTAAGCTGAGGATGCACCACATTGCAAGATTAGCAACTCTTAGCTTTCAGTGTGACAGCGTGAGACAGAAGCTCACAAAAGCTGTCCTTTTCTCAGGTCCGTAGGAAATCACAATGTGCTTTAGCATCTGTCTGTAGATCTGTGATTTTCAACATAAAAACATGTATAATCTGTAATAAATATGTTTTTCATAACTGTCAGTCTGTCATTCATTTACTCTTTCATTTTTGAAGTATTTATTTAACCATTTAATTTAACTCACAATTATCCCAGTTTTCTCTTTTCAAACTTTCATTTTAAATGGGTTGCAGGCTGAAAGTGGAAATAAATATAAATTATTATAATAACTTGCCAAAGCAAGTATATATCATATTACTTGAAAATATTAAAGTCAAAGTAAATAAAATATATTCTATATATCTTCATTTGTCTTTTTATAAAATATTTTCTCAGTCTTTGAGGTTCTAGAGTTCTTTTGTTTTTTGGACTGGGTGTTTTTACTTTAAATGTTTTTTTGCTGCTTCTGTGTATTTTTTGTTTGTTTTACTAGTTTCTGTAAATTAAATCAGGTATCTGAGTTTTTATTTATAAGTTGATACGGTAAGTTATAAGGTATCTTAAAACTTATATTTATAAGTTGACCTCAGTTTACAAACTACAGCTATCAGAAGCAGATTTTGTTGACATTAAAACGGTCTAATTGACAGGATAGGGGAAAACGGCTGGAAAGTGGAGTGAAATAAGGGGAGTTTCCTGCTAAAACTGATATATTTCATAGCCACATCTCTAATTTTTCTAAAAAATCAAACCGTATGAAAATCGGTTGAAAACTGAGAAAGTGAGTTTAAATAGTGCATGCACCACTAAACACCAGTGTTAGAGGGCAGTTGTCTGAAGTAAGATGGCCGCCGCGTCCATTGACGAACAGCGCGGGCGAGGCATCTAGTAAATATATGACATCTATGGTGGCGTCGCCGCTATTCTGCCAGGAGGGCGCGGCCAAGAGAGGCGGGGCCAGGTGTGTACCTACTTCGGTGTTGTGTAGGGGAGTTCGGTTTGATTCCGCTAAGCGGACCGGGGGCAGAACCGAGCCAAACCGTCCTGGATCCGCTGGCTGTCCGCCTGGAGGGAAGCACAGACCCTGTTCTGTTCGGACCCCCTACCTGTATGGGACACGATGAGATGTTTCCACCTGAACAATGAGACCTGTGTCAACGGTAAGCGGAACCCTGAACACACCTGTTCCAGAACGCCTGAACCACGGCGCAGCATCGAGTCGTTTGTGAAAATTAAACAACAAATAAGTTAAAGTTGGTTTAACTTAAACTTTAGGGCCCGGAACTAGTCCGGTTCGGATGGGTTCCGGTCAGGTTTTAGAGAGTGGAGGTGAAGACAGGTTGTTTCTCTGCGCTGGTTCTGGTCGGGTTTGAACACCTTTTAAGCTTCATAAGGATTAAAGTTAATGAGATTTTAAGAATAAATGTATTATTGGTTTTGCTTTTACCTTTTATCTTTAGAAGGAGAAGTTTGAACTTCTGCTTTTAAATGTGACACACACACACACACACACACACACACACACACACACACACACACACACACACACACACACACACACACACACACACACACACACACACACACACACACACACACACACACACAGAGGTGTTTGCTGTGTAAATATTAGTTCATGTTGCTTTTCTGGTTAAACCAGAATTTTTGAGCTCACAACTGGATGAGGATCTCCAGAAACGCAAAAAGCAAACAGAAATGTTTGTTTACACGTGTCGATTATAAACCTCCAAATTCCCCATGGATAAAAGGGGTTTCTGTGAATAAAGATGAATTTTGGGGTATTCAGACTAATCAGTATTGAAATAAAATCGAATCTGTGATGCTCTGATTTACCTTTACTAATCCTTAATACAGTTGTAGCAACTTTGGTATTTTAAACTAACCATTAACTCATTCGCTGCCAGCGTTTCCTGATCGATAAAGCCCTTCGCTGCCAGCGTTTTTGGGTGTTTTTACAGTTTTTTTTAAGAGTGACAGAACGTTGCGCGCGCTAGGATGATGTCGACGCCAAAACAACCAAAACAAAGCGGAGACCCACCTCTTATATCGGGAAGAATCCGCACGCTTCGAGCGTTATCCATTCTTTCATAATCTGTTGTTGAATTGTGATCGGCAGAAGCTTTTCCGGTTCGTGCCTCACTTTTTTTTACAGCAGCGGCCCAAAACAATCTCCTAACACATGGATTTTATGCTTCCTGATCACGTGACGTGTGACGTATACGGATGAAGATCGGCTTTAGTGCTGAGATGTTTGTTCTCTCTGTGCGGGGGCTCGTTCCGACGCCCACACAGTAAATACATGCAAATGACGACTTTAGTCGTCATTGGCAGTAAATGAGTTGAGGGTTAACATGGTAATAGGACGCTCAAATTTTAATTATTAAACGTCCAAGTGAAACACACCGAAAGACGTAGAAATCATGGCCAGAAAAGACGTCTGTTCAGCTTTCATTTTGGAACAATTTCCAACCATGACGGGACGTCTCAGGCGGTGATCAAAAGCATAAACGTTAGCTGGGATCATTTCTCTACGGGGCAGTAATGCCGGTGCTTCATGCTGTTTGGAACCTAGCCTTGTTTCAGCGATGCATGATTTATGGAGTGTAATGAATTTTGCACGGGCAAGTTTAAGGCGGTTCTGGAGGTAAAGGTTCTACCTGGTACTAGCTAGGTGTACCCAATCAAGTGGCCAGTGAGTGTATATGATAAAACAATGAAAAGCAGAGGTTACCACAGTGCTACAGCACCCGGCACGCCCAGCACGATTTCTAGGTAACAAATAAAGGTCTATTTTTTTTACCCAGAATGAACAAACAGGTTTCCTGATGATGATCTCAGTGGTCCGGTTGTTAAAGTCCTCCACCTGCTCCGTCTGCCGCTCTGAGCTCCTCCCTCCCTCCACCTGCTGCATGGTGCTACATGTCCTCTCTGACCGGCTTGTTTGCTTGGTCCAACTCCCTAAACTAACTAGAAGACATCTGGCCCGGCCTGGAATCGACCCGTGTCCGCTGCATGGAAGTCAGGTGCCTGACTAGAGTGTCCTAGGCTCCTCCCACGACCCAGAGGCGGGTTTTTAAAGAGCTCCTGCCACAATGTAGAAACTACATCCTAGAAAACGGCACAGGTTTTGTGATTTTGGCTAAAAACGGCAGAATCATGGTTTAAAGACTACTGAGAACTAATCAAAATAGCAAAAAAATATTATTAGAGTGGGTCTTTAATGGAAAATAAAGGTATTCATGAGAATCTAGTCACTTATTGCAATTAATGCAATCATGAGAAATTTAATATAAAAATAGATGGGTGTGAAAATGAATCAAATGTTAATATTAAAATGTTAAGACTATTTTTTTTCCTATATTAGAAATGTTGCAGATGTTTATAAAAACCATTCATCTGATAATAATCTCAACAGTTTTCTGCTGGTTTAGTTTCTAATCCCGGGTTTAGAACCATTGACTGTTCTTAGGAGCAAACATCACCCATGGTTGTCTGAGGCTTCAGTTGCAGTCTCCGCCATCTTGGCCATGTCGCATGTCTTCACAATCCCAGACAACACTAAAATGGACAAAGAGGTGGAGCTGAAAGCAGATTTTTGAGGGTCTCTCCTGCCACAGCTCACCGCTGCAAGCTAACTGAAGCTAACAGATGTTTGCAGGTGCTTTTAGCTAGGGATGCACCGATGGATCGGCATTTGATCGTAATCGGCCGATAGCGCCCCTATCGGTTTTGATCGGAATTTTCAAAATAGATCAAAGCAAACCGATCAGGTAGGGTTGTCACGGTAACCAGTGTAGCGCTAAACCCCGGTAAAAAAAAAAGTTGACAATAATAACCGTCTTGTTTTTAAAAAACTATATTATCTTGGTGGGTTTACCGTGGCTGCGGTGTAGGCGCGGTGACCCTTACCAGCCACCGTATCATCTGCAGAAGTTGCCGGCGGCACATACACGCTTTGTTTACAACAAAACTTTCTTGAAGCTAAAGCTGAAATAATGGTCAAAGGAGGAGACGGCAGCGCTCAGGAGGACATTTATTATCCCTCAAAGAAGACAAAGTCGGAAGTACGGGCATATTTTAGATATTTGAAGAATGCCGAGGGAGTTTATAGAAGACGGGCGGCTATCCTGTTTGCAGCACGAGCAGAAAAAGTGTCTGTGAAAGACAGCAACGCTTCTTATCTCATGACACATCTGCGTGACCATCACCCACAACTCTACAGTCAACGCAAGGCAAGTTAACGTTAGCGTTTTAGCTAAAATGCGTGATCCTAGGATTTGGGTTGAGGGAGAATGCAATGAGTCGCTATATAAAGCAGCCGCAGCGCCGCTACCTGCATATAAACCATGTCGCGGACACCCCCATGTTGAAATGACGCTATGCATTACGGGGCTCCCAGGGGCAGATAAGAGTTGGTCTCTCTCCGAGAATAATTATGAATTTAACAATGATTACTGCCTGATGACATTTCCCCACATCTGCAAAGCTCCCTGGAAGGACACAAACCGAGGACAATATTTTCCTGAAATACGGATTGCTCAAGTAAGGGTAAAAAAAAAGTATCTGATTAGAAGGCTACTTGAGTACTGAGTATCATCTGATCTAATATTTTTTAAATGATGACATCAAACAGACATAAAATACGAAGTTATGGGCAAATATTGGTATTTTAAAGACTAAATGGGAAAAATGTAAACAAATAAACAACATAATTACAAAATAACACATTTTAGGCAAAATTTAGACACAAACTGAAGACAATATTTTCCTGATATACAGTGTTTATTTAATTGTGTGAAAATGTAGCACGTTTAAAAAAAATACCGCGATAATACCGAAAACCGTGGTAATTTTGGTCACAATAACCGTGAAGTTAAATTTTCACACTGTGACAACCCTAATACAGGCCATTTTAGATTAGGTTACATTTCCTTTATTCCCAGATTATGTAGTTTGTAGCACTCATTATAATGTTGTAGAAAATTTCTGGCCAATCCACGTGATCGGTATCGGTGATCGGTATCGGTGATCAGCATTCTTTGATATCGGTATCGGTGATCGGCAGCAAAAAACCTGATCGGTGCATCCCTACTTTTAGCCAGAAAAATGCAGTTGAGCTACCATCAGCGCACCGAGCTATGGAGTTTCTGTGGTCTCCCTCGGTGAGCTCTACAGGCGACAAACGCAGCACAGCCTCAGACCGCAGTGATGGAAGCCAGCCGCCTGAGCCACGTGAGCTCTGCTCTTCCACAGTAGCAGGGCCCGGCGGCGGCAAAGCTTCCGCGTCAGAGCCCAACCGCAGCGGCAACCCAGGGAGCTGGCATCCAGCCTAAAATGTTTTTTCATCCAGACTATAAACATGTTCATTTCTGCTGTGAACATGGCATTTTCATCATGAGTCAACAGGAACCTGCTCCTTTCTGGGGCCAACCCCTAGTGGGTGAGAGGGGAACTGCAACTTTTGTCACTTCCGGCTTGGCTTCAGAATTCAGGCTAGCCCTGGTTTCCAACTCTTCTGAAGACAGACAGCGACTCCTAAAACGTGAACTTGTACTGCTGCTGTGGAGTCGTGACTTTGAACCAACAGGAACATAAAAAGGGATTCTGCTATCAGGAAGCTTTACTGAAACCTTTCAGGTGTGTTTCTGATTCGTTGGGTTTTAACGTTCTTCAGGATCAATGGTGCGGTTGTGGTGCGGCTCTCAGACGGACGTCTGTTTGATCTCTACGGATCTGATCGACACACAACTGAATAACACTCTTCAGACACCAGGTACACACACACACACACACACACACACACACACACACACACACACATATGCATGCTCTTTATGTTTCCCTATGTATCTCATGCTGTGAGATCGTTTGCTTCTGTCTGGCTGAACCAGAAACCTGATGCCCAGGCTGGCTGTGTTTAAAGCTGCTGGTTGATCAGGTGTCACCTGAGCTCTGATGCAGGACACGACCCTGAGAAGTCTGAGCACTGACGTGTGAATCTGATCAATGCGACCTCTGCTGGGTTTGAACAGCTGAGCTGAAAACGCAGCAGCTGATTTTGTTCCTCTAACACGGTCAAACGTTTAGGAGTTTGTCTTTTAAATAAAATCTGTAAACTTGTAACAACATACCCAGCTCATCTTTAGAGGATCCGATTAAATTAACCATAATAGGGGGCAGAGTTAGTGGGTAAACAGACCTATCAGACTCTGGGTCTGACTCTACACCTGGACAGGTCTCCATTCCATCACAAGGGCACACCCAGGGACAATTTAAGGTCTTCAGTTAACCTGACAAGCATGTTTTTGATCTGAGAGGAAATCGGAGAAAACCCACGCATTCATGAGGAGAACAGGCTAACTACATGCAGAAATGCTGCAGCTGGAATCCAAACCTGCAACCTTCTGGCTGCGAGGCATCCATGCTGCCAGCTGCTCCACCATTCAGCATTTTCCTCTGAGGGTTTCATTTAAGAGCCCTCGCTGTAGACATGTGGTCTTTATTTTGGTAATTCAGTGCATCTTATTTAAAACATAGAAGTTCTGCTTCAACCTATCATTATTACGCCCTCTTCAGGTTAAAACTCTTCACTACATTGGATTTGATCAGCCATTGCTAATGGCTAAGACGTACCCAGTGACGTTGCAGGTACCGTGTTACGCGGTATGTGTGCGCTTTTTTCTCCAATGGAGAAACTCCAAGTGGGGTTGGTGATGCTCTCAAAGCCGCTCGCTCAGTCTGCCAGTGGACACCTCCTTTTGGAGCACTTTTCAAACAGGAAGTGTAGGTGAACGGAGGCCCAACCCCAACACTCGCCCTGCTCCCTGCGGTTTTCGGCAAAGTGCACTTGGAGAAAGTGCGCTGTAAGACTCTGAGTGCGTGGTACACAAGTGTGCAAATAATTGCCGAGTTGAGACAGGGAGCATTGCGTCATCAACTGCAAAGCATGTCGGTCACTGTAATAATAATAATAAAAAACGTTATTAACAACTTTCAAACAAACAACCAAACAATCATTTGAAATAAATTTACATTCACCGCTGCTTCGTCTAAAAGTTTCAGAGCATCAACCATTCATCCTAAAATGAAATGAAAAGGCCTTTTCTCCTGCAGTGATGGCTTGTGGGTAATATCCTTCACCCAAGTCCACTTCGATGCTGACTTGGGTGAAGTGTGGGCGCAAAAGGGGCGTGATCAACTTCCACACCTGAGAATCGGGACACCCTACTCACTCGCACCCCTGGTCGGGATCGCACAATTGAAGGGTTAAACCATCAATCCTGCTCAATGGTCAACTTTCCTCACGGGGTCACCCGTGAAGACAGTGGGAGGGTTAATGGCGGTACGGCAGAAACTCGAGGGATTTCATAAACTCAAGAGTCGAGTGAGGAGCACAGTGGAGAAACTGCTTCGTGACTGAGACTCTTTCGGTGTGCCCTGGCGTACAGCAATTGTCGCAAGTAAATATTTCTTCTGCCATTGCGTGCTGCCGATGCTTGCAGTGTGCAGTAGGGGTAAGAATAGCCTTCCTTTAAAGGGGCCTGAGTCAAGCTATTATACAATGTCCAGAGCAACTATAGCCACAATATATGATACAGTATTACCATTGGCACCATTATAGTAAGAACGTGTAGTTTTTTACCATTAATCTCTGGAAATATCTATTGAAATGTTGTTGAAAATGATGAACACACCACTCAAATCAAGTGGTGAATTAGGGGTGGGGGTGTGAGCCCAGACAGTATTCATGGCAGCCTGGTGATCCTACCAAAACAGTGGTTTGACCCACGGTAACACGTCGGGTCCGGGCACAAGCTTGTAATGATTCTGCGCATCTTCACGTTTTTCCGAATGTCTCCCTCCAGCTGGTGAGACTACTGCTGATATGAATCATGTCTGCTACCAATTCAGCATTTACTGGACATTCATCCACATTCTCAACAAACTGCAACAACTTTATTTCAAGATGTCCTCTAATTATATCTTTGTCAACTATTTCGTAGTTCTGAAAGACGTTACTCTTGTGAGTCGACAGCTGCAGCGCTGTTTAGGGAGGGTTATGGTGGCTTTTATCTTGTAAATCTGATTGGCTATGCTACACACACACACACACACACACACACACACAAAGAAGTGTATCCGTTTGTTTATATTGGAGCCATGAATGGCTTTAAAGTGGGCAATTTTCAAATAAAAGATGTGTAAAATTAGACTACACGTGGAGAAAATATCAAGTATTTTTGTGGCATCGCCACATTACATCAGTGTTAAAATAAAAGAAAATATTTAATATTAGTTGCACAGAGGATATGAGAAAATGGTCTAAACAATTACCAGAGTATAACTGTTAAACTGTGTCACTGTGATTTTCTTTTCCACTGTACATAATTGGGTGAGTCTGGGTCGTTCATTTATTTATCAGCGTATTTGTGTTGTTTACCACACCCGAGCTATTAAGAGAGGGCTGCGTCAGGTGTGGAGAGAGAAAAAAAAAATCTGAGCACGGATGGGTGTGGTGCAGGTGTCAGCGTGGATCTGCTGCAGCCTGATTAGTTATCAAACTAAAGGTCTACCATGTAACTGAGTGGAGAACTCGGTAGGTCGATAGTTGAATGTTAAAAAATAATAACAATATATAAGATTAGGGTTTTAAGCCAGAGAGAAACTCCCGACGATCCCGCACTGGAGCGTGCCTGGATATCTGCGCTCTCCAGCTGAATGAGAGGAACCAACCCAGATCAACTGCCTCACCGCGGAGCCAGATCGGTGGATATACTGGGTCACTGACTGCTGAACCCGGTGAGAGACCTTTTTTTATTTTGTGGTATACCACTTATTTTCTATTTTTTGCTAGCGACCGCATCTCCCCCCCCCCCCCCCCCCCTTTTTTTTCTTTGGACTGCTTCGGTTGCATTCGGGTTGGTGCGTTGCGCACCAATCACAGACTTTCTAAGGGCATTATGGTGGCGCTGTAGATGGACAATTAGGGGGTTAATTTCCAGGGAGATATACACCAAAGCCATGTATGAATGCCGTGTGATTCAAGTTGAATAACAATAGAACCATACGTGGGAGATCTCAAGTGGTTGGTGTTCCGTGTCTTATTTGGCAGGGAAGGTGGTATTGAAGCCCTTTGGTTGCCAAGAGAGGGTGATCCTATTTTTAAATATGTTGGGTTCAAAGGTTGTTCTTTCAGAGTACCCTCGTATGTGAATTAGCAGTTCCTCTCCTGGACTAAAGTTAGGGGGGTGATTGTTATATTTTGAATTTAATAAGTTAAAGTCAAGTCAATGTCCAAGTCACTGGTTTACAAGTCCAAATTCAAGTCAAAGTGTAAAGTCACCAGATTAATGACTGAAGTCAAAGTCATGTGACTAAAGTCCACACCCCTGTCTGAATCTGAAGATCTGCAAATTAGGTTTTACTCTGAAACCTTAAGCAAAAAGCCATTCTTACGCATCCTGAAGATAGTCTTGCCAGAAAGCCATTGTTTGACTCTGTTGTTGGAATGTGTTGCTCCCTTGTTCAGACCATTTAGTCAGAGTTTCTCCACATTAGTTGCCGTCACATCCTTTTCTGCCTTTGTGAAAAGCCTCTTCATTTGCACGGGGTATGTCTGGAGTGCATCAAGTACACCAAGAGCCTGTAAACCAAAACATCTAAATTGTAACAGTATTATACGGAACCTGGGACAGAAAATATAGTTTTTCATGTTCAGTTTAACTGAGGTTACACAATGATTTCCATACAACACCAGAGCTGTAATCATAAGACACAATGCTCTTTCAAGGAGTCATGATTTCTGTACAAAGTCTGAATATGATGCCCATAAATAGACCAACACAGACCTTTATATATTTCGCATACATGACTTATGATATGACCAACTTTTCTGCATACCTTACAAAAGTATTAATACAACTTTAACCTTTTACAATTTTGAAAAAATATAAACATTTACACATTTTGGGGTTATTAAGTAATTTATCAACACAAAGTTGTTCAAAATTATTTAAATAAAATTATACATCTTTTAAAGTTTTAGTTAGAAAAAACATAAACTTATGTGATGGATTTTCTTTAAGTAGTATTATTGTGGTTACACTTTTTATTGCAAGTACAGAGGAAAGTGTTTTGTGATGTATTTTCCATCTTTGCATTCATATAGGATGAATTTTTTGTATACAGTGATCCCTCGTTTATCGCGGTAGATGCGTTCCAGACCTGGCCGCGATAGGTGAAAATCCGCGAAGTAGGGACACCATATTTACAGTACAGTACTATATTGAATTATCGTATGATCACATTCTCTTTTTGTGGGTAAAACTCAAGAAAAAAATTTTTTTTGTTGTTTTTTTTAATAGTTTTATTACAAAAAGTGCATTTTATGATGAAATTGATGAAAAAAACAGGAATTTCTTGATATTTCACATAGAAAAATACCGCAAATCGGTGAACAATACAGCAAATCGGCGAATTTCCCTTGAATAAGGCTCCAAAGAAAAAATCCGCAAAGTCGTGAATCCGCGATAAACAAATCGCGAAGTAGGGATCACCTGTAGAACGGCTCAAGATCAGATCACAAAGTCCAAAAAACATGAGTCTTAGGTTAATTTGTTACTTTCATTTGCCTGTGAGAGTGAGTGTGTGGTAGGGATGCACGTTTTCAAAAATTTCTTTTACCTGTTGTTGAAGCCCTTGTTGAAGCCCTTAATGGTTAATAGTGAGTAAAGTACTGTCACAGCCTACACACACACACACACACACACACAC